GCCGCTGAAATCATGTCTTCATGGGTATCATCCTAGCATCTTGAGAGCTGCGACAGGTTGTTTGTATGATGCTGTCTTGTACTGCTCAGACCGCATGATCAGAACATGCACATTGACACTTTATAGTTTGTATCCCATTGATTTAGCTGAATTGTCTCAGCTGTCTGCCAGCGAATTGTGCCAGGCTCTGGCATTAACACTGCTCATTAAAAAAAGTGCAAGTTTTCATCTAATTATGAAACTGAGATAATGATACAAATCCTACCAGATAATGTAATCCATTATGACACCGTATTATTTAAATCTCTTACAGGGGCTCATAAAATAGTAACCAGAGAATCATTTTTACAATATAGCAATCTAAATAAAAGAACAGTTTTTCTCAAATACCTTGTTCTGCTCTCTGACACTCAAACGCAAAAATCTATATTTACATTTAAAATGACTGCACCTGGTAGAAAAAGCGTCATTTCGATTTTAACCAGCGTTTTTCTTTTCTCTGGTCATAACGATCGAAGCCTGCGTGTTTTGCCCGTGAAAGCGTAGTAATGGTTAGTCTGTTGGATCGCTAGCAGTCAAAGCAGATAAACGGATTACGTCTGCATTTTCTAAGCACGACACATAATGACGTGATCTCTGGCTCTCTCATCTGCTCCCTTACGTCTGACTTAAATAAAAGTCATTTGTATTGAAGGCTTCTTTATTAGAACTGTCATCATTAAGAATTTCCTTAGTGCATTTCAGAATGTCACAAATGCATATTTTCTCTCCTGTAGTACAGCTCCTTGGCCTAGGCTGTAGCCTTCTAAATAAAAATGATAAATATAAAAAAATAATAATGTATGTATGAGATATTAATGTGTGCATGAATACACAGAATATGTTATATATTTTAATTAGACAATGTGCTTATATTTGTGCATAAACATTATTAAACAATATTATTTAGCATGCGCCAATCAATGCTGTAGTGCTACAACTAAATTATGCCCAGTATATCTAGGCAAATGGTAACAGGGGTGAATAGTGCCATGATCCAACAGATAAACCAATTGTGTGGCTTCACCAGACTACTGGAACAATGCAAGCTACATAAACATTACACTTGCAGTACAGGTTATGTTGCCTCGGGTGACCCGGTGCTGTCCCCAGCTTAAAGTCAATTAATTTAGGAATGTTTTTACATAAACTACTCTTTCTGATACCCTGTATGCTCTTTGGGAGCATTAGTAATGCAGCATTTCTTCTTTAATTTTAATCATGATGCTCAGCAGTGATTGGCTTTGAGTGCATAGGATCCCTGTCCCTTGTTATATAGGTGCCCCCGCATGTGCGATAATGTAAAAATGTAAGCATTGAAATATTTGAAAAAAACTGCAAAGGCAGTCATCACAGGGTTAAAATGACAGGACCACTGCACCCAGACCACATCATTGAGATTCAGTAGCCTTGGTAACTTAAGCGGTTTTTAAATGCAGTTCAAATCGGATGAAATTGACATTGCTAATGTAGAAGTGTTAATTCCATATTGTGCATGCAACCAGGGAGGGGACGTCTCTTCATTATTATTTACCAAGCACCAACATTGTCTGCAGGAAAAGCTCTGGTTTATGGCAAAACCTTCCTAAACAGTTTAATAATAGTTAATAATAATACAAAATATAACACCAGAGAGTACAAATCTACAATGAGCTTCTGAGAGTGTCCCTTTAACCATCATTGTATCATCTCAGGGCTATTAAACCAAGTTACGCATGACTAGTAAGGCTATTTCAACATTGGTGGCTTTGGGACTTTAAGCTCTAACTAGTGAGTGTTGCCATGAGTATTACTACATTTGGTTACCACACTACGCCGTGTGTTAATTAGTAACCATGTGACAAGGTGTTGTGGGATTAAAATGCCAAAGATTCTCATAATCGGCTTATTTTGAAACTACCCAGGAATGCAATCCATAGTAACCTTTTATTTCTGTACAAATTTCAGATTAGGTATAGAGATTTATTCACTGTCAGGAATATGTTGCTGTTTTTTTTTAATAGCTAGTAATATGTTTTTAAATAGTAATATCATATTAATAACAGACTGTTTTGCTTTAATTCCAGTGTATCTTTTATTATCAGCAATTAATGATGCGTTCTGTATGAAAATCTCATTACGCCTGCTTTCTGTCCGCTAGTGTTTGGTTCGAGATAACAGAAAGCACACTAATTGGCTGTTAACGCATATTACACGTCATTATGTATCTATACACTGATAGTTTGCTTTACAAATTAAAAGCACAATACGGAAAATACAATACTTATCATACTATACAATACTTCTGCCAACTGCAATCACTAAATTAGGTAGTGTCACAAAGTAACAGGGAATTAAAAAAACTCTATGTTTCATAGTTTGGACAAGCTTCTATGCTGCAATATACTCTAATATTCCAGGGTAGTCATGGTTAATGGTTAGAGTTAGGGTAGTGTAGGAATCAATGTTTATTGTTAGCGTAGTTTAGCGGTTGAGTATATGTTAGTGTAGTGTAGAGGTTAATGGTAAGATATTGGGTAGTGCGTATGTTTTGGTGTAGTGTAAGCTGTCAATGGTTAGTTAGGGTAGTGTAGAAATTAATGTGCAGTGTTATCGTACTTTACAGATTAATGCTGCAAACGAAGGTTCCTGTGACTGCCATTTAATGTTAATCCGTTTCCTGTGACGTCTTCAGCTGGTTACTGTCACTGACCTTGGTATGTAAAAATTGTACCTGGTGATACAGAAATGACTCTGACCTCTCCTTCATCCCTTATGTCCAGTTGATTGTCAAATCCTGCCGCTTCCATCTCAAAAACATAGCGCACATCCGCCCCTACTTAACGCCAGATGTGGCTAAGGTGCTAGTCCATGCCACCGTCCTCTCTCGCCTTGACTATGCAATCCACTTCTTAGTAGTCTTACGTGCTCCCAACTTGCCCATTGCAGTCTATTATTATTATTATGTTATTATTTATATAGCACCGTCAAATTCCGCAGCGCTTTACAATGTCTATAATGAATGCGGCCGCGAGGCTCATTTTCTTGTCCGCCTGCACCTCCCACGCCTCCCCCCTCTGTTAGTCCCTGCATTGGCTTCTTGTAACACATAGGGCTCAATATAAAATTCTGGTTCTTGCTTTCAAATCTCTACATAATGCTGCTCCCACCTATTTATCCTCCCTAATACACAAGTATGTCCCGTCTAGGCCCCTACGCTCTGTTGAAGACCTCTCTATCCTCTGTCCGTACTCCCACCTCTGATGCTCGCCTTCAAGACTTCTCTAGGGCTGCACCGTTCCTATGGAACTCCCTTCCCTTTTCCATTAGACACTCACCCAGTCTCCACTCCTTTAAAAAAAACATTAAAACTTGCTTTTTCACAAAAGCATGTCAATGAAACTGTTAATGGCTCCAAAAAACCCCACACTAAGTCTTCATTGAATACTATTCTACCACTATACTTCCCTAATACTTGAAATGTAGTCGAAAACATCTGAAATGCTGAAAGGTTAATGTTTAGTGATAGCATAAAGTAGTTTAGGCCTTTATTGTAAGGGCACTGCTGGGATATACATGTCCTGGTGCTGCCTGAGAATATTGGGAGTTACAGTCCAGAAGCAGTTATTTCAGCTATTGTCATTAAAAGTATCTCCCACTACTCTACTGCAGACAAGACATGTATGTCATGATTCTGCTAGAGATTAGGGCCCTCACATTGCACAAAGGCGAGCCATGTCACCGTCAACGAAGTATTGGATTCTAAAAACATGACCTGCTTGTTAACATAGAAACATAGAATGTGGCGGCAGATAAGAACCATTCGGCCCATCTAGTCTGCCCAATATTCCAAAATACTGGGCTTTTAATTAGTTACTTTAGAGAGAGTTCAGAGAAGGGCTACTAAACTGGTTCATGGATTGCAGGATAAAACTTACCAGGAAAGGTTAAAGGATCTTAACATGTATAGCTTGGAGGAAAGACGAGACAGGGGGATTTGATAGAAACATTTAAATACATAAAGGGAATCAACGCAGTAAAGGAAGAAACCATATTTAAAAGAAGAAAAACTACCAGAACAAGAGGACATAGTGTTAAATTAGAGGGGCAAAGGTTTAAAAATAATATCAGGAAGTATTACTTTACTGAGAGGGTAGTAGATGCATGGAATAGCCTTCCAGCTGAAGTGGTAGAGGTTAACACAGTAAAGGAGTTTAAGCATGTGTGGGATAGGCATAAGGCTATCCTAACTATAAGATAAGGCCAGGGACTAATGAAAGTATTTATAAAATTGGGCAGGCTAGATGGGCCGAATGGTTCTTATCTGCCGTCACATTCTATGTTTCTATGTTTCTGGTCCCTGGCCTTATTTTATATCTAAGATAGCCTCTGCCTATCCCACGCATGCTTAAACTCCCTTACTGTGTTAACCTCTACCACTTCAGCTGGAAGGCTATTCCATGCATCCACCACCCTCTCAGTAAAGTAATACTTCCTGATATTATTTTTAAACCTTTGCCCCTCTAATTTAAGACTTTGTCCTCTTGTTGTGGCAGTTTTTCTTCTTTTAAATATAGTCTCCTCCTTTACTGTGTTGATTCCCTTTATGTATTTAAATGTTTCTATCATATCCCCCCGTCTCGTCTTTCCTCCAAGCTTGTCGATAAATACAAATCTAAACAGTGAGTTGCAAAATTCAGAATTTAACACAATGTAGCAAGAGAAAAAAATCTGAATTTTACCATACATTTTCAACGTACTTGTCAGCTCGCCAGATCACAGTTCAATGAATAAACCCATAAAATTGTCCCTATACAGTACAATTTAGCATTGTGTTGCGTCAGAGTCCTGCACAAGGTGGTTGTTAAAGGGACACTATAGTCATCTGAACAACTTTAGCTTAATGAAGCAGTTTTGGTGTATAGAACATGCCCCTGCAGCCTCACTGCTCAATCCTTTGCCATTTAGGAGTTAAATCCCTTTGTTTATGAACCCTAGTCACACCTCCCTGCATGTGACTTGCACAGCCTTCCATAAACACTTCCTGTAAAGAGAGCCCTATTTAGGCTTTCTTTATTGCAAGTTCTGTTTAATTAAGATTTTCTTATCCCCTGCTATGTTATTAGCTTGCTAGACCCTGCAAGAGCCTCCTGTATGTGATTAAAGTTAAATTTAGAGATTGAGATACAATTATTTAAGGTAAATTACATCTGTTTGAAAGTGAAACCAGTTTTTTTTTTTCATGCAGGCTCTGTCAGTCATAGCCAGGGGAGGTGTGGCTAGGGCTGCATAAACAGAAACAAAGTAATTTAACTCCAAAATGACAGTGAATTGAGCAGTGAAATTGCAGGGGAATGATCTATACACTAAAACTGCTTTATTTAGCTAAAGTAATTTAGGTGACTATAGTGTTCCTTTAAGAAATAAATTATTACAGTAGTTGTATTATTTTGTTTAATTGTTCAAAGACAATGGGTTGGAAATACAGTAAACATATCTTTAAAAACATTTTTAGCATAGCATAATTTTTATATTCTTCTCAAATTCCATGAATGGTCTGCAACACATCCGTTGATACGCCACTGTGAAGTCATATGTTTAAAAGTGTTCCTCTGCTTGTTTGTCCGTATGGTGTAGTTTATTTTGTGTGTTTTTACAAAATGAAGCGTATGCACGACATAAGTGTGTAAGCGACATTGATTTGAACATGGCTTATTAGAAATGTAACATATTTTGCAAAGAATTGTGAGAAATTCAAGGTGACTTCAAACAAGATTATTCACTAAAAAAAATTTAATTTGAATTGCAACCCTGAGGCTAAATTAGCTGACCTGAAGAAAATTTCCAATTTTGGGCATAGTCACACGTTGTCTATTGTAGAAAGTTGACATTTAGATTGTAATTAATTAATTAATTTTGTGTCTAGTGAATAATAAATTAAGAATGTTAGTCCAAAATATCCCTAAATGAAAAAAAACAACAACTTTGTTGTAGAATGTTTCTAAAAATGTGAAATTCATTTTAAAATTTGAATTCCTGACAATCCAATCTTTAGAGAATAACCTAGTCAGAATCCAATTCTCCCCGGGGAGGAGTAAATACGTGTGGAAAGGGCTGCTATCTGACTGGGTTTTATGGTTCTGTCTAGTGAGATTTGCATTAGAATTGCCAACTTGCTGTCTCTCGGTGTGTTCTAAACACTTTACATGCTGCTCATCGAGGCTGTGCTGCAGTTTACCATGACATCAATGGGTTAAGAGAAGAAGTGTCAATTTGGATAAAATGCTAGCAGTCTGAGTGCCACTCTCACATTATATCTGCCATCACACATCATTTGCAAAAAGATTACCCTTAATGTGGTCGTGGTCCCTCCCCCCTTTTCCCATGTAAATAGAGTAATGATAATGAACTGTATCAAGCTGCTGCATGCAAACAGCAGTATGTAAGCCATGGGGTGAGTCTGTACTTTGGGTGTGATGGTAACATGTGGGTGTCCTGTGCTATTTTTTTATTACTGTGCCCTGCCTGTTCCTTATTTCATAAAATTAGAAAGGAACACGTGCCTGCATTACTTTATCTTATGGGTTGATGATCCACACCATCTACAATCCCATCACAAGAACTGCAACTCCCATCATCACCAGCTACACACTGCAATGCTGTGAACTGAGCTGCCAGATGTTAGCATACACAGCTAGGCGATGCTGCTTGAAATCCTTTTAGTAAGACAGACACCCCATCCCCCAGCACTTAAAGCTGACAGCAGCAGGCTGTGAGCACAGACAGACAGACAGGAGTACTGACAGAGAGTCCCCACTGCCCACATGCATTCACCTCATCACTGACATCAATGCCACCAATCACACAAGTCAGGGGGAGGGGCTGAGACATGCCACGCCTCTCTTGGGAAACTTCAACAGAGACAAACTTGAGCTGCAGCTTGTAGTGTGATCTACAGCCGGGAAGTGATTGCTACAAAGTATCAGTGGGGAGAACTCTGAGGGCTGATACAATGAAGTTCTGCAACACTGACTTCTATCTCCTGTTCAGCAGCTCTGCAACACACAGACATGATGAGAATCGCTCCTCACTGAGAAACCCATGTGAAAGCAGCTCTTATCAGGGGGGGAATGTCACAGAGCACTAACCTGACACCTGGCACCCACCTTTACCTGCCCAGCAGTATCTGTGTGTGAGAGACATCATCTTCAGATTTTTATACTTTTTTTGGATTGGAATTAATAAAACAGACTGATTCATCACTGAAATAAGTCTCCTGTATAACAGGGACACAGAGTGTGTCTAGGGACAGCTAGAAGTACCTGTTGGGGAGATTGCTGACACTCTGCACCTGGATGTGACCTTAATGTCTCCTTTGGAAAGTTACAACATGTCTATTGACAGCATGGTGGTCTCTCTGAACTCCACCAGTAACAGCACTGTCCTAGGGAGACCCCCTACCATCCCATGTGTGATGTTTATATTTGGGGTGGTGGGGAACCTCATTGCCATCATCGTCCTGTGCAAATCCCGCAAAGAGCAGAAGGAGACCACCTTCTATACCTTAGTATGTGGACTGGCCATCACTGACCTGCTGGGGACCTGCTTGGTCAGCCCTGTCACCATAGCCACCTATGTCAGGGGGGCCTGGCCTGGGGGGAAAGAACTATGTGAGTACAGCTCCTTCATCCTCCTGTTCTTTGGGCTGTCTGGTCTCAGCATCATCTGTGCCATGTCCATCGAGAGGTACCTGGCCATCAACCATGCCTACTTCTACAATCACTACGTGGATAAGAAGCTGGCTGGTCTGACCCTCTTTGCCATCTATGTGACCAACGTGCTGTTCTGCGCACTGCCCAATATGGGTCTGGGGAAGACCACCTTCCAGTACCCGGAAACCTGGTGTTTCATAGACTGGAGGACTCAGGTGCCCACCTACGCCGCCTACTCCTACATGTACGCCGGGTTCAGCTCGTTCCTGATCCTGGTCACGGTGCTGTGCAATGTGCTGGTGTGCGTGGCGCTGATCCGCATGCACCGCCAGTTTGTGCGCAGGACATCGCTCGGCACGGACGCTCGGATCTCGGACTTCAGGAGGCGCCGGAGCTTCAGGAGGATGGCCGGGGCTGAGATCCAGATGGTCATCCTGCTGATAGCCACCTCGGTGGTGGTTCTAATCTGCTCCATCCCCCTGGTGGTAAGTCCAACCCAGCCATGTGCTCACACTGTACCTCCACAGGAGCTCTGCCACACCCCTAGCCTTCTGCTCCCAGAGAGTTTTATCGTTATTTCTTATATTTTCTTATATTATAATTTATTTTTTAGATCATTTCTATGACGAGGATAACTGGGCACTAGACATATAATGTATCTCTTCTGCACTCTGATCCACCAATACTTAGTTTGTAAAGTTGAAAGTTAAAGGACGGAGAGGGGGTAAACTCCCAGCGCACAGTGCTAATATATAATCATGTATAAAATCTGCTTGTATGACATTAAATGCCATTATAGGCTTCATGTATAGGCAAGGTATCTAAGCCAATGTGTAGGGGATATGGGAATGATACTACATTGATTTCTATTGCTGTTTACTCCAGGGAAATTTAGTTCATAACTTTCTGGGGTGCAAAGACCCCCAAGAGCACTGCAGTATGAAATGTAAAGTGTCAGGGAAAGTTTACAAGATTTTACTGTTAAATACATTTAGAATGGAACTCAGCTGTTGATGGACTAAACACCCATCGCAGTGAGCCAGCACTAGTATCAAAGTTTAAAACTATTGCACATAATGTACACTCTGTGCAGCTAGAGTAAAAGATCCTCATTTCAACAAAAACAAGGCATTGGTGTCTATTTTTGGCAATGAGACAGTTGTAGATTCCACTCCCAAGGTGCTCAGCCAACCATTCATGGAAAATAGTCCACAGCAGCTGCAGTGGCAAAGCGTAGTGAAAATGTGTTCTTGGGCTATGGTTAAAAGAAAGAAGTTGTGAATGTCCCATTGTATAGCTCTGCAGTGATTTATCAATACAAATAGTATATAATGTAAAGGTGCATCTTTGGCAAGACATTTCTCCATATTTAATACCTAAACCTTGTGTGTGACACAAATTGCTATATTCATTTCATTGCTAGATTATTTTTTATAATCCTCTAAGAGTAAGTATTATTCTATAATGACTAATACATGTTACTGCTACCACGAGAATATAATGGGCAGAAATTTTAACATTTTTGGTTAACCCAGACTCCTGCATAAAAAGCAAACACTTAATTTCCAATCTAACATGTCTTATTCAAACAGTGAGTAATACTTTTCTTTAAAACACTATTGTCTTACTGAAACTTAACACCAAATTAGTTAAAAAAAATTAAAATAAAACAAGCTATTTTAAACTATATCTAACTGCAACTTACATTTCAAACACTTTTCCAAATATTAACTCTAGGAGTTATTTGCAAACCAATTTTTGTTTAACCCCTTAAGGACACATGACATGTGTGACATGTCATGATTCCCTTTTATTCCAGAAGTTTGGTCCTTAAGGGGTTAAAAATGCAGAGTTTTTATATAAAGATTTTTTTCAAATCTTTTCAATTCTCAGGCGTCCAAATATTCAAGAAGGGTATGACCCACCCCAGACATTTCGCTAAAATAAATACAGAAATAATTATTAAATAAGTTTTTTTTTTAAATGGTGCACAAAATGAGCTGTTAAAAAAGACACTCACAATTATATTACAGGGATAGGCAACCTTTGGCACTCCAGATGTTGTGGAATACATCCCCCATAATGCTGGCAAAGCACCATGGGAGGTGTATTCCAAAACATCTGGAGTGCCGTAGGTTGCCTGTGCCAGTTATATTACATAGCCTTGCTTTAAAAAAAGGGGTAGGTTATCTACATAGTGAATCATGGTACACTGAGTATACCTTTCTAAACTTACTTCACAGTACGATAAGTTGGTAAGTTAGTCTGGGTCTGAATCCCCCCACAATTAACTGTTTAGTAAGCAAACCCTAAATAGCTCACCAACACTTTAAACAAGCCTGTTCTGTGTGTGTAATATAGTTACCATCCCTGTTCTGCCAGTTTACCAAGAAGTTCTCTATACACTCCACCTGAAGATTGCAATGCACTATAGATGTGAAGCAAGTTGGAATATTCTAAATTGCTGTGTTATTTAAATTTATATCAGTTCCAGCCATATAAGAACTTTAACTGCCACACAGGGGATTAATTAGTCACTAATTATTAATGAGCAGTGTACAACGTAGCTTCAAGCCAGTGAAAATGTATTTAGTGGATAATTTCGCGAGCAATAGCGATCAATTGTTAAAATGAGAGTAGAAGAAAATAGTTTTGTAATGAAAGCAGTTTGCATCAAATTTATCCAGCCGTGCAAACGGCAACCACCAAAATGCCCAGAAAATCTTCACAAAGTCCTTGTGAACTTGATGGGAGTTGGAGTTCAAATTGATTACAGAGTGAATGGTTACCTATGTGGTTCTGAAATGGCTTCAGATACAACTAAGCGATCCAAACGTCAGGGGAACATCCAGGAGGACAATCTGTCATAAAACTTTGAACGTTTGACGTCAGAAAATTGTAAAGCGTAGTGTGTTGATATTGACTTCCTAGGAACTCATTTCTGGTTGTAATAATTGGAATCATATTTAATGGCTCTCTCCGGTGATTCACTGTCTCCGAAAAGTTTGATTTTTCCTTAAAGTGAGTTAGAAAGCGAAACCCAGACTCCGCCTCATACATCTGGATAGGTTTTATTTTCTATATTTAGGTTAGAACTTAATTTTTAAGTTTCTATAGAGCAGGGGGGCCCAAAAGGTAGATCCCCAGATGTTGTAGAACTACAACTCCCATGACACTTTGCATACCTTTAGAATGCCTTGAGAATGACAAAGCATCATGGAAGCTGTAGTTTTAAACATCTGGGGATCTACCTTTAGAGCAACCCTGGTATAGAGAGTAAACTCATGTTTGCGGTCTCCACTCGTCAAAGAGTTAAAACTAAATTTAAAAGAACAGCCTGATATTGGCCTCTAGGTTGCAAACATGTAAACAAAATATATCCTGTAAGTTTTCTTGTAATTGTCCTATGTATAGTTAAATCACCCCCCCCCCCCATTTCATGATTCGCTTTTATTCCAGAAGTTTGGTCCTTAAGGGGTTAAAGTACTGCTTGAAAGTAAACACTGTTAAGTTGTGTGTCTGTGTTGCTATTATTATTGAATGCTCAATTCTAAAATTGGATCCAAAGCTTTTCAAAAGAGTTAGTTCCTGGCTACCATAGTAAAACTAAGAAATCGTTCTTTAAGCCGCTTTTCATCAGTTGTTTGAATGGCGAGTGGTATGCTGTCCAAGATTGATGTGGTAGCTGGCAGCCTAAATAACTAACACAATCACCAACATTTTTGGTTTACAGCTGACCATCTGCTTAAATGTAATGTCAGATAGAATATGGGAAAAAGCTCTGGCCTAGTTTGCAAACTTGCACAGATGATAACTTATTCATGGTTGTTTGTAGCAGTTTGGGCTGTTGCAAAAACTTGCAGTTGAGTCATTTGTACTCATTCAGCAGCTGAGATGGAACACTTAAGTTCTCACAAATGAACCGCAAAGCATGTAAAAAAAAACCAACAAAATAAGAATCAAAACAAAGTCTCGGAAGGATATTATAATTTAAACCACACTTTATATGTGTCTCCATTAAGGGAACCTTTGATTTTTGCATATACCTTTTTCTGATCTAAGCGCATATAGTAAATCATTTGTTGTGTCTTGGTATTTTCAGCATACCCCGCAACACATTTTACGAGGATACTCAAGCATGTGTTTCGAAAACCGCTGGAAGAGTCATGTGCAACTTGATGACAACTTGCATATAGCAACTCACAAATAAAATCACTCGCTAATTTTAGTATGTTCCAAACCTAACCATTCCTGAAATGTATCCCTGAATTTTTGGTATCTTCAGTGGATATCTGAAACTAGTTATACTACAAAAGTGTACCAAAATAACTTAAAGTCCACAGATGCTGTGCGTTGTTTAATTCAGGCATTCTGTTTGTGCACTTAACATAAGATTTGGACAGAGCCTTTCTGCAAAGAATCTCAGTCAAACTTAAAGTAACATCCCAGTATAATACATAATATATTTATCTATAATACTGGAGTGTTTTATTAACAGTTTAGCCTGCTTTTCCCCTTGAAATAAAGGGTTAGCTTACATCTAATCCAGCAATGAGATGATTTTGCACTACAGCTCTGCTCCGCCCACCAATAGAATGCTTCTTAAATGAAGCACTGCAGCAAAGGCTGCATGAGCAGCAAATGCTCACCTGTGCTGACTGTATCTGATAGAGAGGCATTGAAACCAATGCTTCTCCATGCAATCACATAAAAGACACAGAACTAAAACGTTTGTACATCATGTTTTGAACTAGAAATTCAGAATCACCAATGGCAGTTGTCTGGGTAGCCGTTTATTGATTATTCAAATTTCTATATAAATCACGGATATTCTGTCATATTTTTTGCTGTGTTATGCAGATTCCGGAAGCCTCACGAGTACGGTGTTCAGGCCATTATGGAAATGGCAACCACTACACAAGTTCATAATCATTCGTTTTGTGCTCTCTGTTTTAATGCATCAATTGATTGTTGACTTTGCTTTCACTAACAAATATTAACTCAGCATACAGATAAGAATGTTCTAAATTCTTCTTTGTTATCTGAGCGACTTGATTAATACAATGCTAATACCCGGTCAGCAATATTGTTTTTTTATATGACTTGTGGATGTAGTTGATAGTTCTTTGTGTGTTTATTTGGGAATGTAATCACCCAGCTGTGTCAATTTTGGTTGGTAACAACTGCTCCGATACCTGATTGCACTCTTAGTCCTTGCCAGAAGAAACAGCTCGTAAGTAAATATTAGCAGGCAGTGAGGGCAATTTGCGTATGCCTGCTATTTTTCTTAATTTGATAACATAGTTAGGGCTCACAATTTCATGCCCAGTGCTACGGATGAACTGTAGTAATTGCAGGATACTTTTCATTGCTGCCTGTGGAATCCATATCTGGATTTACAACTATGCCAATCACAGAGCTGAAAAGGAAGTCAGAAAAAATAAAATGCAAATAACTTTTCACCTGTACATGTGAAGAGAGAGAAACTCACTTATGATCTCTCCCCATTATAAATGTCTCGCCTTGCTTGAAGTACTCCTTGCATTGTACTTGTGTAGAGTCTCTGCAGACCTTTAAACGGCACAGGTTGAATAAATTACTTTAATCTAATCCATCAAGTTCTAAATCTTGGTGCCCAGGTTTATTGTGTATCCTTAACAGCCAGGCATCCCCTCTGCATACCAGGGAGCAGAAAAATAATGTCCCACCAGATATTGTCTCTGTGCTTGCCTGATGAGTTGGAGAACAGCAGAGGAGGAGGGTTATGGGTTCAACGCTTATTACCTTTCCTACAGAGATGCAGCTTCCTGTTGGAATAATTAATCTGTAAATGAATCCATTGTGCCATTATGCAAAGAAAGACCAATTTTTAATGATTTGTTTTTGTTGTTTCTTGTTTGTGGACTGTAAAAAAATTATTTCAATTCAGTTACAGAATACTGAAGCCTATCTCCCAAGTTTTCCTAATAAGGTCAGATAGTCACAGTTGTGGGTTCCTGTTCTGCAGTTCCAGATTTTGTTTTCTGGTGTTCTGCATTTGGGCCACACCTGGGAAATGTCCCCAGAAAGCACACCACAATAGCATCTTCAGTCGCACTCACGGTGTGCACAGTGACCTTAGGGCTCTTAGACCTTGGCAGAATATTTCAGAAGCACTGTGTTAGAGGGTCTGGTCACGCATCTGGCTGGCTGACATACCCTTTTTTCAGAAGGCCTGCCCTGCATTGCTGCCCTCCCTTGTGTCTTGCCCACCACACACCTCATGTCCACCACTTCAGATAAAAATCAGAAAGCAATACACAAACATGTATTCTAAATGCAATAATGCTGTGTTAAAGGCTTAGAAGCCTGCCCCTCCCCCCAAATAAGGAGTAAAAAAAAAAGCCTAATTACCTTTTCTCCCTTGAGGCACCAGTCTCCGCACCACCATCCCACCTCCATGAGTAAGATCGTCATGATTTAGGATTTCCCAAAGGAAAGCATTGGAAGGCTGGTGCGGAAGTGCGACAAAACACAACACTTTTTTAACCTGATTGAAATAGCAGACTTTCAGAGTGACAGCCACAAGGGGCATTTAAACCCAGCAAGGTATACATTGCTGTTCCTGTAGAACAACATCGCTTTACTTTGAAGGGTTAACCATACAGGACATGACACCCAGACCACTTTATTGACATGATGTTGTCTGGTTGCCTATAGTGAATGCAGACTAAGGAACCACGCACACACAAAATACAGGAAAGCATAAATTGAAGAGAGACTCAGGAAGCAGTTTAAGCAGTAAGTATTGCAGTTAAAATTGATATCGGACCCACCGATATTGGGGTACTGTGTTGTAGTTGTGGTCTTAACACAATATGGCCACATGGTGTAACTGAATCCCCATATTTGTTTACTGAGATACGTGGTTTTAACCCCTTGAGGACCAAACTTCTGGAATAAAAGGGAATCATGACATGTCAAACATGTCATGTGTCCTTAAGGGGTTAAGCTGTATTTGTTTTTTGTGTGTTCGCTGTCCCTTAGTCTGTATTTTGTATATATTTTTTTTATTGTCTGTACGGCAGCACCACTACTTAGGAATGCATGTTCCGGGTGTGCCCCCATGTCCCCTTTTTTCTGGGTGCCTATAGTGTCCCTTTAAGTAAATGAATATTTTGATATATGATTTATTCCCTGTGTACCAAATGTTTGCATAGTCTTCTCTTTTGCGATATACTATCCTTTCTATACTGTAATATGTTTTCATCTTCTTTGCTCAGATGTATATGGTCAAGGTGGGATTTAGATGTATGTGGTCACGGTGGAATTTTTGAAATTCCAAAGAAGACCCTGTAGGAAATTTGAGCATTTTCACCGAGTGTAATTTATAGTTGAGCCATCAGCTTGTTTTATCTGAGCTTGTGGTTATCGGTGAATAATATGAAAACCGTAAATAAATGTAAGCATTGTTTCTTAATGTAAAAAAAAAAAAAAAATCAATTTTAAAATCAATTTTCTAAAAATTATTACTATGCCCTTTTGTCTCTAATTTGACTTTGACTGGAATGTTGCTAAGACAGATTTTTTTTTTACTTAGTTAAAATTTCAAAAGCCACTTACTCTAAATGTATTTTTTAAAACATTATATTATTCGCGGCACTGAAAAATAATTTCCATGTTAAAGGGGTTTCCTAATTTATCAGTAAACACTGCAGTGAGTCCTATTGCAAAATAGATAGAATCTTAACGTACCTCCACCGGCCTCCAACTGGAGGAGTTAAAATTCTATAAATATATACGTATTGAGCTGGAAACCCTGTATACTTACCTAAGACAAATCTGTTAAGATAGCTATGCATGCTACAATTTTCTTTATTTTTGATTATAACTGTGCTAATGGAACAGTTAATAAATGGGTGAATGTGTTCCATATTGGGCCCTAGTTCAGGACAATGTGATGCCATGATTCTGATACCAATACCCTAATCATGGTCTATTTAGCGCTTTGTGTTCCTGTTGCCTTGGGGAAGCATTTAGTTTCTAACACCTACAGGTCACTGACTGTCTGTCACTACAAAAGACGTGGAGGTTTTCCCATCTACCAGTATATCCGTTACATTACAGAAGCTTTTTTCCTAAAAAAAATTCAGGCAAACTAGCAGAGTTGGAAACATCTCCATATTTACTAATCTGGAGAGTTCTTTCAAATTCAGCTGGTCATCAATCAGCTCTTCACAAATCACAGTTTAGTGATATCTATAGCAAAGATAATTGCTCTCTGTATGGTTCTCAAAGATCTAATACGTACGTAAAGGATGACTTTGCCACTGATTGCTTCAAGCAGCAAAGTCATGCAAGTAGGTGTAAATACAGTGCTCAGCAAGCTTCAACTAGTATCAGTTATATTCTTACATATTCATAAGAAATAGCTTTGATGTTGTATTATCATTCAATTACTCTTCAAGTAGAGACATGTAAAGTTAATGAATGCATGAATAGGCTGGCTTTAAAACAAACAAGTTATTAGCAACTACTCATAAAAATGAGAGTAAACAGGTTTAACACTTTGAGAGCTGTTAAATCGTCTACAACCTCTCCCCAGCACTGAAGAGGTTAACAATGAGTAACCGAAAAGATCTGGGTTCTAGAAAAGCCAGACAGACAGATATCATCACCCTGAGCGAGCGGTATGGTTCCAATATATTTAACGATTACTAAAAAGAAAACCAAATTGGGAATATTTATTTCCTGCATTAAGAACATCTTGTGGAAATGAATCCTCTACATCTGGGAGCATAATTTGATTTGTTTATAATGTGTCTGTGACTCTAATTTCTTTCTCTGTTTCTTTTGTCTTCTTTTTGTCTTTAGATTTTTTAATTGGTAGTGGCACATCATGGGGAAACAAACAAGCTATAATTCTGTGCGTTACACAGCTGGGTATTTTAAAATTCTTTAAAAATGTCTGCTGTGCATTTGGCCAATCTGTTAAATCCTCTGATTACTAGATAATAATAAAGGGGATTTTGTTGTTTCAATCACAGGTCACAGCTCCCAAAGGATTGGTTCCTGTTTTCTAAGTACAGATGCAGAGACCACTTCCACAGTATTCATTTTTAAAGGGATCAAGAGAGGTCAATAGACTGCTCCTAAATGTCAGATGACAGACAACATGAGTTCGGTACAATTCACTTTGAAATCTAATCTTGAAAAGACTAAAAAAAAAAGAATGGACTGGAGTTATATGGTTTTGGGATACACCGTATATTGCACAAAGTAAATCCCTTTTTTCATCCCCAAATTACAAAGCACAATTAAGGACAAAATCGATAAATTATACAACTAAGCTGCCATCACAGCTTTTGCAATTTGGTTTTCAATTGATTTCAATTTGGTGTGTTCAGTTACCAGCTAGAATTAGATAAATGATGCTTATAAGTTAATCATTTAAAAAAAAAAAAAAAAAGCCTTAGGAAAATGTTTTAGTTTATGCAGAACTTAATGACATATTTTAGTTCGTCACTTTGTTACCTCACGTGCCAAAATAATTGGTATTTTTGAAACTCCAGGTTTTATACACTGAACCAGGGGTAGGCGACATTCGGCACTCCCGATTTTGTGGACTACATCTCCCCTGATTCCTTGCCAGCATTATGACTATACGAGCATAATGGGAGATAAGGTCTACAGCTGCCTACCCCGGCACTAAACTGTGAATTTTGGAGAGATGGTATGGAGATTTAAGATTTTTTTCTCAAATTATGTGGATGGAAAATTGTATTCAATTCAGTTTTGTTTTGTTTTTTACAACTCCTCAGTTGTGACCTGAAATTTGCATATCTGTTCTCAGTTCTTCATAATTCTAAATTTGGTGATTAAAAGGATACTATAGTGCTAGGAATACAATGTTGTATTGCTAGCACTGTAGCTCCCTCGCGCATTAGGCCCTTCCAATAGGAAAGCAATGCTTTCCTATGGGGATTTTACTGAGGCTGAATGTTCTAACATGCAGGAAGTGCCTCTAGTGACTGTCTGATTGACAGCCACTAGAGGCAGTCTTAACCCTGTAATGTAATTATTGCAATTTATCAGAAACTGCAATCATTAACATTGGACTGTTAAGGTGACAGATTGTCACTGCACCCAGGCCAGTTCAATGAGTTGAAGTGGCATGGGTGCCTATAGTGTCCCTTTAAACTCTTTTAGGTTGTTCCTGCAATCCAAACATTGATTCCATCAATGTTGCCCTCTCTGCAAATCCTTGCTCCAGTTTAATTTGAGGTTAATGAAATGCTATGTCATTTATCAGTTTCTCGTGTGAAGTGCATCAACCAAGGGTTAAAATGACTTGGCAAAACTAATCTAGACGGACTATTATTGACCCAATCCATTTAAATGAAAATAGGACTTCTCATTGCTTTTCCTATAAATTAATAAAGAACGAAAGCAATGATTTGACAGACCTGCCATCTGCTGGCCACAACACCAGAAGGGATTATTTCATTATTTACTGTGCTGTTTTATGAGATGTTAAAACGTGCTTTTGATTTCCAAGTATTTCATGAGAAATCCAGTAATGATCATGACGTCCTGTTCCCATTAGTGGACAGTGTGCGCGCTCGCATAATTTCTGGATGGTTTACAACAGTTGTTAAATAACAATTTTTATTTTATTTTGTTTTTAACAGATGAAAAAAAAACATTTGTTTTTGTTTAACATCTTTAAATCGTACGACTTACCAATGGTTTGTAAAGACTGTGTGTCCAGTTGGCGGAAGAAATATCTTGTTTTTTTTGTCTTTTTTTAAGAAAAATGCAGTCTTGCTTAAAACCACAGAATTCTTTAAATATGTTCTTGTTAAAATATCATATTGGCCTGGTTCACAAACTGAAAACCATTATTATTATCCTGGCATGATCAGAATTTGTTGTTGTGATATTCTAACATTGGACAGCCAGAGTTCATTATATTTTTGGCTTTATAACTCAACAGTTGCTTGTTAAGTGTGGTTTATTGTATTATTAACCCATTGTTAAAAAAGGTCAGCAAGATTAATCAATTGGAAAACCAATTTCAATCAAGCATATTGCATTTGATATACCTATAGTGAGGCATGATGCAATACTGCTGAATCTTATCACCAAGGTTAAAGGGACAGTGTAGTTGTCAGACTGTAGTAATTTCCTGACAGCTAAGAAAGGTAATTCTGCTGTGAGAACTGAATCAAGACTTGGCTCTTCCAGGCAAGCTCCCCAAATACTTCTCATAGAGAGCATTTGATTGGAGGAGCAGGCATGTGCTTCTCAACTCCAATGCTCATGTATGAGAAGCAATGGTTAGAGAGACGAAGAATTGGTGTGACATCGCAGGAAGTGATTTGATTGCCTGTAGGGACTAGATCTCAGTGCTGGCAAAAAGGTAAATACTACTCTTTTTTTTACTTTGATTTGGTGGGGTGCTGTATCTAAATATTGAGGAGAAGACTATAGTGTTAGAAATACATTTTTGTATCCATAACACAATAGTTCACCTTTAAGATGAAGTACCTTTTTTTTTTTTTTAGGTGCATCAATGTGCAGTTTCAGGATTCAAAATGGCATTAAGCTTGTAAACTTTACGTCATGTCTTGTATTTAGAATGGTCTTTGAAGGGTTAAAAAATACAAAAAGCAGATATAGAGAAGTGATTGCATAGTTAAAGGAATCACCTTTGTTAATAAGGTGAAACGCGATCCCTTATTAATGCCCTATGGGTTAGTTGCACTGTAAGCCGGGTCTAATGGTTGGAAATCCGTCTCCATTATTTGGTTTTATGTGTCTTGTAAACTGAATATATGCAATTAACGCAAAGCCCCAAAGACACAGCGTTGCTCCTTACAAATCTAGGAAATCTCAGGCAAGGATCATAGAAAGAACATCGCCCCTAAGCTAGTTTTCTGTTTCGCTGTCTATATTTCCAACATCACTTATTTTTACAGTTATAAATGATAAGGTGTTAAAATAATTGATTTAAAATATCTTTAAACAATTATAAGTATCTGTCAACCACTAGAAAAAGTTGCTTCCAGCTTTATATTATATACAGTACAAATACTTAATATCAAACATTTAGAAGTAACCATTTATGCTGGCTTAACTTGCTCTTTCGTTGTATTTGACATATTTAATGTTGTGATTTGTACAGAGAATTAGGTGCCTTTTGTGGTTTGGACCATATTTCACTTTGAGGTAATTAGAATCAAGTTAATTAAGAATTGCTACATTCATATATTCCTTCTTTGGAAAAAAAAAAGTGTCTTATACAACATGTTCCAACAGGCTATATTGAGAAGGGATTAGAACTAACCCGAATACTCCAATAACAGGAGGTGCCAAGAATGCTGTTTCTAAAAGTAAGACAACCTGGCGGCTCTCGACATGTTAGGAAAACTGGTCCAGCAAGATTAAAAGATACGTTGCAGTTATTATTTCGGGAATCATCTTGAAAGATGTTAGTGAGCATTTAAAACCATGGATCACGTTGAATAGCAACTAGATTCTAAGTACAGCTCGCTCATTTTTTACTGGAGTGAAAAATTTGGCTGAAATTCAAGTGTTGAGGTAGACTTGGTTGACACCAAACAGAGGTTTAACATTTATCTAACAATTCTTATAAATGGAAGTGGGGAAAAAAACACTTGCAAACATGCATCTGTACTGACACCACCAGATTAACATAAACCTGAAAAAGTTTTTTTTTTTTTATATGTCCTATTTAAATGTGACGCCGGGAAGGTGGGTTGTGTTCTTGCAATTAGGACACTGGCGTTAAAATCCGAACAGATTAACGGCATAGCTTTTATGGCAATAGGGAGCTAATGTTCACTGAACTACATAGTTCCTTAAAGTTTTTTTGAGGATGTACAGCAATAAATTTAAATAAGTCTCTTAATATTTTGGATAACATCTAAACATCCTTATTGATTTAATTTAGAGAGCCCATTGAACATAACACAGAAGTCACAGAATGGTTTCATAACCCACAATAAAAACTCGAAGCAAACTGGTTGATTCAAGGGTGATCTACTTGTTTTGCAAGATAAGCACTTCTATTTTAGGTTAGAAATTCCTGGCTACTAGCAACCTCGACTGGCTTTCCTGGTAAGCAATGTACACACTTGTTGGAGTGTCTTAAGATTAAGGTTGCCTTAGGACAAAAAGTATTCACACACAAAGGCTCCATATTGAATAGGAAAGACTCCGTGTTAAGTTACATCCAGGGATGGTATACCTGCTGAGCAAGCTTGCCTTGGGTGCATTATAATTAGCTATTAGCAGCAAAATAAAAGATTAAAACACAAGCATTCTATTGCTCCAAATCCTTGAATTTCAACAGAAAACCAGATACAGCTTGTACCAGATACTGCTGGCCTTGGGTGAATATAGCTCTTTTGTGTATAGGTGCGTGAAACATTTGTTATCTAAAGTGTTCTGGAAATCATATCTCAAAGCACTATTCATATAAAGCTGCCCCATTTATTAAAGTAAAGAAAATTGCCCCAACAAGTGTACTTCACATTTTTGGGGGGGGGGGTTCATTTCAGTTGACAGCGCACTCCTGCCGGCAAAATGGTTCATTCCGTGCGCGGCCCATGTGACATCAGAGGGGGGGGGATTTTGTTATTATGATTATTATTATTATGTGTATAGTATTAACATGTGTAGCAGAACTATACAATGGGATTTATTGGTGGCTGTGTCCTATCTTAAAGAAATTAACATTTTACATAAAATTTTATTAGTGAAGATGAACTAAATGTAATAAGAAGAAATATGATGAGAATATACATTTTAAATTATTTCAGTAGTGCTGTTATACAGTTTTTCTTACCTGACATTGAAGTCTGTGCTGTTTAAAAAGAGCAGTTTTTAATGTCTGCAGCTTTTATCATAAAAAATAAAATAAAAAAAAAAATAAAAAAAAAAAGCAGTTTCCGTCTCATTTATAGTTTGTTTTTTTTCTAACTCTTTTGTGTACGGAAAACTTTAAAACATCACTGAGCTGTAATGTGGTGTTTTAGGAAGTTATTTAATTAAAAGGTTTTTGGAACTGAATGTAAATTATCAAAGGAAAACCATGTGTTTTGTCTTTGATAAAATAAACCCTACAGATTGATGAGGATATCAATATTGTAATTTTCAAAGCAAGCGTACGATTATTCAAGATGCTGAGATTATGTAGGAATGTAGACTATTGTAGTGACATACTTATGTAAGTGTAGCAAAATATTCTTTGTTCCAAAGAAAAGAACATTTCACGTCTGTTGACTAAAAACAAAATTTTGCCTGTTTTGAATTGATTTTTAAAATTCCTTCTTTCTGGTGGTCTGGGAATCATGGAAATATGTACTTGATGGTTAAAGTTATGTCTGTTTCATTTAAATCCCAATTAATATGTGCTAACATTTTTAATACTTATTTTTTTTCTTCCTGCAGGTTCGTGTTTTTGTTAACCAGCTGTACCAGCCAGAGGTAGTCAAAGATATATCAAGTAACCCGGATTTGAAGGCAATCCGAATTGCTTCTGTCAATCCCATTTTGGATCCTTGGATTTATATATTACTGAGGAAGACTGTGCTAAGCAAACTGATTGAAAAGATAAAGTGCTTGTTCTGTAGGATTGGAGGAGGTAGACGACCTCATTCAGCAGGGAGCTTTAATTGCACTGAGGGTAGAAGGGCCTCATCAGGCCTTTCGAGTCACTCCCCGTCTTTTGTTTCCCGGGAGTTACGAGAAGTTAGTTCCACTTCCCAGACTTTATTATATCCTCTAGAACTGAGTGACGGTAGTTTCAAAGGTAGCACTGTATTGCCTGGGGCTACAGTTGCCATTATCCTGCCTGGAACCACAAATAGGACGTTGGGTGGTTCTGACCAATCTGTCTCTTCTGAGGGACCAGACTCTGAGCAAATTTTGCTAGTAGATGAAATACGGACAACACAGACAACTTCAAATAGAACTTCACCAAAAGGGAATCCACTCCACGTCACTTTTCCCGATGACGCACTGAATTTATCAGAAAAATGTATATAGGAATTCCAGATACAATGATGGATACAAGTTTATTTTAGCAAGCGTGCAGTCAGCTCCTAACATGGTGCTCCGTTCTCCTTGCACAAGATCATAAATCAACGCCTTTCCTGTGACAAGGACTCTCTATGTCCAGTCTTTATATGGTACTTGTATTTCAGGTGGTAGAGGGAGGTAGAGGTAACTAGTGACTTGCTCCTTAATTCTAAACAACAGAATTAGGTTTGCCTGAAGCATTGTTTCACCTTTTCAGACATTCACCTCTGGCACCCTTTTTCAGTTACTAGACCAACTTTTAACAGAAGGTGTTTTTCCTGTAAAGGGTCAAAACGTTTGATTGCTCTATTTTGCCCAATTTTTGCCAATTTCCAGTGCATTTTCTAGGGCAAATTAAAATTGTCCAATGTATGATGCCATTGTGGCCGGCTAAAGCTTTAAAATGTGAATTTTTATGGATAAATATTTGTGTTTGTATACAGAATGTACATGTATTTATTGTCTTCTCTGTGAGAAGGATTTTGGATCAAAATGTCTACTTAAAAAATTGAAATGGAATATGCTCTTTATTTGTTTTTCAAGAATCTCCATACAACTAGAGGTATTGTTAATGTCCTATTACCACTTTGCACTAAATTAAAAATATTACTCATATCAAATTTATCATATATATATATAAAAAAAGAAATATATAGAATTAAATCTGGATAAATTTCAAGAATACAATTGCTGTAAAGACACAACCCTCTCTGACATAGGCTACACAATAATTTGTATTTATTATCATACTAATTTATTTACTTTATTGCCCAATTGAACAATGAAAACTCTTAATGGTCCAGAAGAAGGGGAAACATGGTTCTATAGCTCTTGTTGGACTATATCTGTCTTAGCCAACTTTGATGAAGGTTGTTCTGTCCAACAGGAGCTGGATAAACTCATGATTGATTGCCGTCTAATACACTATTGTATCCATGAATCAAGAATATTTTATTATAAATTAGAGGTACACAAGCAGATACCAAAAAAGTTTGTCCACAAAGGTAGAGTTAGACCAAGAAGTGGATATTTTTTGGTTCTATAATTTGTTTTATATAATATGTTGGACAACTTATGATGACGATGATGATGAAGATAGTTGTTATACAGTCACAACTAGAAAACAACATCGGTGGGCTGTACCATACTATTGCATCCTAAAATCATTAATAGTTTATCATAAATGTAAGAGAGGTAAACAGACTAACTAAGATCTGTCCCTCAAATAGAGTCATTTGTCTAGTTAGAAACATCAACTCTTTGACAGAGTTGGGGGACTATCAGCTCAAAAGCTAATGTTAGATTAAACCATGAGGTTTTCTGGATGTGAGTTTCGGGAAACATAGTCCGATAAAATATAAAAGGTACCATAGGTTCTTGTCCCTGCTTATCTGCAAATGGCATGTTGGAGATTTGTTTTGGTATAAAAAAAGCTAATTTGTGAACATTTGCTGTTTGTAAAAACTAATGTTTCTTGTAGAAAAACAAAGGGTCATTTTGAAATTCTGTTCTAGCTCTTGGTATTGTTTGATATTTTTGTAAGCGTGCGTAAAAAGAGGATTGTAGAAATGGCAATGCTTTTGTAACAATCCGTCATCTACGTAGATACAATTCCACAATAAAAGTTGGAGACGCCGACTTGCTCTCCACTGGGGTAAATAGCAACACTTTGGAAAACAATAGAAATATTTTTTTTCTGTTCTCGCTAAAGCAAAATATAATTGTTTCCTGCTGAGTAATATTTTACCAGACCATAAAAAATAAAAAAAATAAAAACTTAAAATTGCTGTTTGCACAATGTTGTTGGCTTAAAACCTTTATGGCCATACACTAGTATCTTAGGAAAGGGAATAAACAAACAGACATTAAATATTTATATTTAATGAAATATTTTCCTCTCGATTGTCTCTATTGTTGAAGAGACATAGTTCTAGGCTATACCGGCGTACTTATCTGTCTAATGTTATTGTTACTTTGATGTAAAAATAAAATGGGACTTTAGCACTTACAACATGTGGTCTCACATTTTGTATTAATATTTAGTATTTGCTGTTAACCAGTAGATGGATCAACTATTAAGGGCAGGTTCTAGAGCCAGACCTCCAGCAGATGAACTACAATGCATCATTCTCACGCATACCAGCCGAATGACTACAATATTCCTGCTTCCAGCAGCTAGAAGGCTGTTAATTTTTTACCAGATCTCGTCTACAGCCTGTGGTTTGTATCTGTCCAGATGCATTGTAGCTCATTAACAGTCAGAAAGTTGACTTTGGTTCCCAGTGTCTAGATGCTTTAAGGACACTAATGAAATTAGTGACAATTTTGTGTTCGTGACAATTTTCAGTCACATTCTCAGACTACTCAGTCAATGGACTATTTCTGCCTCTTGATTTCTTCTTTGAATATTTTGTGAATCCTGATATTTGAAGAATTTTTAGAGAAAATTAAAACCATCAAATATGCATGTTATGTGTCAGTGGCCATGTGAATTGCTTTATTGTAACTACAGTCGGAGTCTGTGTAAGTACAAAACTTGTATTGACCAAATGTTTTATTTGTTTGTTGTTTCTTATTTTTTTTAATTTTTTTTTTGCAGTTTGAGACTTGGGGTAATCACAATAAAATTGCATTGTTAAGCTTATTTGTTTACGTGTTTTTTCTTTAATCTTACTGGTTGTCATAGTGGTAAATAATATATTGATTTCAGATGCTGATACTAAATAAAATCTATTAATAAATATTGTGTGGTCTAAATATGACAAAGGACCTTCGAGAAAATGAAGGGAGTTTATTTATGTCCAGGGTAAAGAAGAGTTTGTTTAATAAAATAGTTAATGAAAGACTAAACCGAAAACCAAACATAAGCAGGATATTGCCTTCAAGCCCTGGCAAAAAAGAAAATATGTAGGGCTCCGCATCCACCCCTCACTGACACAAACACATACATGTAATTAGCCACAATTCAAATTGGATTTCAACATTTAGAAACATTTTCCAAATAAATTCTGTACTCATTTTGGCTCGTTTGGCCTTACATTTGAAATATACTTTTAAAGGGACACTGTAGGCACCCAGACTACTTCAACTCATTGAAGTGGTCTGGGTGCTGTCTCCTTATTGCACTCAGTGCTGCAATGTAAAACATTGCAGTTCAAGAGAACTGCAATGTTTACATTGCAGCTCTAAGTCTGCCCTCTGTGGCTGTCTACTAGACAGCCAGAGGTCTTCCAGAATTCAAACTGACTTTTGGTCCGTTATCTGAAGCTGGACGTCCTCACGGACCTCCAGCGTCAGATTTCCCTCATAGGAAAGCATTCAATAATGCTTTCCTATTGGGAGGTCTAATGCTCGCGCGGCCATGGCAGTGCATGCACATTAGGTCTTCCGCTGACGGCGGGGGAGGAGCGTAGGCGGAGCCTGACCCAGTGCTGAATTCGCAGAAGGAAGTCGACGCTGGATTCAGGTAAGTGGCTGAAGGGGTTTTAACTCCTTCAGCCCTGGGGGAGGAGGGGTCATGAGGGAGGGCTTTGTTTTCCTGGCACTGTAGGATCCCTTTAATTCCAAGCAATTCTTGGTTCAGTGAATAACCCTGTCAGACACAAATCTCTGAGAACTGGCAAAAAATCCATAGTGAATTCAAAGTGATTTTCAAATTTAAAGGGACACTGTAGTCAGCAGAACAACTATAGTTTATTGTAGTAGTTCTGGTGGGTATTGTGTATCCCTACAGGCATTATAATGGAAACACTAGAGTTGGAAGGGACTTGGCTGGTCTCTTACAGACTAACTAATCAGATATTTCAGGGCCCCAAATAACCCATTTAGCTCTCATATATGAACCTCAATCTGCTGCCAGGATCTAGGTGTGAGAGAGGCACAATTGTGGCGCTCACATGCGAATGTGGTGTTATATGGAGGAGCCAAAATCTTGTGTATATTGCACACTAAAACTTTCTTTCCAATTCAACATAAGCCAAGACTTTGACTATTGGGGAATATTCTAGTGACATTTAGTCACTTTCTCCAGTTTCAAGACAGACTATCACGCCCTGTCACAGAGGTTATACTTTTAATAGTAGAGAGGGCAAACTGGCTTCTAATGGCCAACACGTTTTCCAGAGTTTCCACGGGTGAAATATCTTTTTCTAAATAGAAGATGAGAAGGGGTTTTATTATTGTCCCCCAACCCTACTTATAACAATTACAAAGTGACTAAAGAAGTTCTTTATTAGTGTTTTAGCAATAGTGTGACACAAAGGGTATAATGGGACCTCTTCTTCAAAAGGAAGGAGTTCTTGTTTTCATAGACTCATTTCATGCTACTGTTTATCTAACTATGCGTGGTCGTAAGATCAAGGCTGGCTGTGTATCATGGGAAGTGGAGTTCAGAAACATCTGTAGTGACACATCAAACCAGGATGTAGAAATACAACTTTCTCTTTCCATCTCTTTTAAAATTTAACTGAAATAGTTACTCATACAACATTTATGTCTATTGATTATGCAGAAGACAAATTCAAACACCAAGTAAATAATTTGCCAATTATATCTCATATAAACACAATTTCGATCTATGTAACGGAAACAACGATCACATTATTCCCTCGATCGATGCTGCAACCACTTCTGTGCCCATTTGACATCACAACATTGTATTTTTAGTATTTAGCAAAAATTTCAAATGATTTCTGAAACACACTTTCTCCTGAAGGCTATATTATATCCCTAGACTTAGTTCTAAATATGGAACTATTCAACGTAACATTTAAAGTTTCAATCCAAAACCCTTTAAAAACTTTCTTTCAAAATTCTTCCTTTTTCCCGTGGGGGCAAACTGAGAGTTGAAGTTATTTGTCATGGTTTTCTCCAAATAGGGGAAGTGGATTTTCATTTACTTCCCTCCCCTTAACAAGAATGGTAGGGTTATTCCACCAAATTCTGTGCGGATGGACAAAATGTTGTAAAAGTGACAAGATTCTAACAAATTTACAATTCTCATATTTATAAAGGCAAAATCTGGTCATTCCACCATTCAGTCATATCTGTTCAGTCGCTGGTCAAAAATCTGTAATTTTTGCCTCTAAAATAAAATACAGAATTCACATTCCTATCGAACATTCGCTCTGAGTCCGTGAAATGGTCCAATCACAGACTTCTCTATCAGAAGCCTGTGATTGGACCGTGCAAGGTCCTTGCTAACATTGGATCTGGGCATTGAAGGCAGTCCTGGGAGCTACGCCCTGAACTGGTTTCCATGTAAATAAAAAAATATTTTTCGCAAAATATGGGGGGACTTAATTAATGGTGCTTGTTAGTACATTTAAATAGGATCCCCTCTTCCCCCCCAAAAAGTTTTTGAGTAACACTTTAAATTTCAACCAGAGTGCTCTAACAGGCAGGTCTACCCCTTTACTCTAATACTCCAACTCACTGCCCAGGAGATTAATGGTTGAGCAGCCATTCCATGCTCACCATTTAGTAGATATGCCCCATGCACACTGCATTGCAGGTGGGGGAATAAGAGAGGATTTAATCCTCCCATTAGTTATATGGTGGTCATACTGACCCCATATGTTTTTTAAAACAGTTTTTATAGTGATGGCTGGCTAGCAAGAGCTCGTCAGCCAACACATTCTTAAGTCATGCACTGCCAAGGGCTCTTTAACTATTTGGCTGCTGTCTCCTCTCTCTGCCAACAGGCAAATAGTTCACATGCTTATAATTCAGGTATAGAGAAGCTGAAATCTGGACACAATTCTAGCTCATTTGAAGCCACTATTACAAAATACAGACATTGTTAAATAGTGTTAACAAAGACTGGATTTTGCCCTCCAAAAGGTATTGTACTGGATACTTTCTACTGATCCAGACGGGGGCATTCACACTTTAGTCAATAATCCTGTGGTATGAACTATTCACCAATGCTAGTTGTTATTAACAAGAGACACAGAGCTAAGGCTACATGAAGCAGAATTAGGCATTGTCCTGAATACCCGCTCAAATGGGTTGGTCTGTATCTGCATGGACCAGTGAGAAGAAGATTCCTCTCACAGTCCTGACATGCATTCTGTTGCAGGGGAGTGTGTTGTTTGTAGCTCCGGTGAATGTATTCGCTGTTAGTGCTCCCTAGCGATCTGCTCCTTCTAAGAGAATGAAAAAGCTAAAACTGGTGAGCTGCCCGGGGCTATGATTCAGCAGCATGGGATCAGAAAGAGTGCTGACAGTGATCTGAGTCTGCCAGATGTACAGACCACACTCCCACTCTCTGTAGGACCAGCATTAGGGAGCTGTAAACACACTACTCAAATCACACATACACTTAAAAGAACATTCCAGCCACCATAACCACTGCAGCTTGCTGTAGTGGTTATAGTGCCAGGAGTGCCCTGATGCTTCTCCAGCATAACAAGTCAAACTGCTTTTGGCGGTTTCATTCCTTACCAGAGGACAGCCAGTAAGCACTCCCCAATTCCACTATTAACTCCTGAGAGCTGTCAGTTCCTCAGCAGGAAACTCCATTCCCTCTCATGTGCTAAGCTCTGCAATACTGATGCTCTCAGCCCCTTAGCTAACACTGCATTGCAGTGCAGGACTCCACTCAGGAAAGCTAATTAAGTTCCTACTGAGGAACTGACAGCTCTCAGGAACTTGCAGTGGAGCCCAGCGGGCCCCAGATAAGAAGTCAATCAATTTCTAAAAAGATTTGAATCCTTGTGATGCTGGGTGCTAGGCCATTCCTGGCACCAAAATACTACAGCAAGGTTATGGTGCTTGGAGTGTTCCTATAACTCCCATCATAAATATAATCACATGTAAAGTTCATTCCAGACATACACCCATCATCAATTACTATCACTTGCAGTTACACACTCTCACATCTTAAATTACTCATGCAAATCCCATTACACATCTGCATCTCCCACAGATACAACTGTCATCACAACACACAAAGTAGAGGTAGGTAAAGTAGACAGATGGTCAGACAGTGCGCATTAGAGGTAGGTAAAGTAGACAGATGGTCAGACAGTGCGCATTAGAGGTAGGTAAAGGAGACAGATGGTCAGACAGTGCATGTTAGAGGAAGGTAAAGAAGACAGATGGTCAGACAGTGCGCATTAGAGGTAGGTAAAGTAGACAGATGGTCAGACAGTGCACACTAGAGGTAGGTAGAGCAGACAGATGGTCAGACAGTGCGCATTAGAGGTAGGTAAAGTAGACAGATGGTCAGACAGTGCGCATTAGAGGTAGGTAAAGGAGACAGATGGTCAGACAGTGCATGTTAGAGGAAGGTAAAGAAGACAGATGGTCAGACAGTGCGCATTAGAGGTAGGTAAAGTAGACAGATGGTCAGACAGTGGGCATTAGAGGTAGGTAAAGGAGACAGATGGTCAGACAGTGCATGTTAGAGGAAGGTAAAGAAGACAGATGGTCAGACAGTGCGCATTAGAGGTAGGTAGAGTAGACAGATGGTCAGACAGTGCGCATTAGAGGTAGGTAAAGTAGACAGATGGTCAGACAGTGTGCATTAGAGGTAGGCAAAGGAGACAGATGGTCAGACAGTGTGCATTAGAGGTAGGTAAAGGAGACAGATGGTCAGACAGTGCATATTAGAGGTAGGTAAAGTAGACAGATGGTCAGACAGTGTGCATTAGAGGTAGGCAAAGAAGACAGATGGTCAGACA